AAGCGAGATTATTACCGCTTTCTCTATTAATTCGATTATATACCCCGGCCTGATGATGCTGCTACGTAGAAGAAACGATCAAACGAGGCGTTCTTTTCTATATTCGGGAAGATTCTCCGTGCAAGAGAGGCAATTGTGGTAATTGCGAGGTGAATTTTCGAGTGGAAGATACTGCAGGATACTACAAACCGAGGGAAATTGGAATGCGTGCCTGCGCGCACAGATCTCGCGGATTGTCATCAGGCTGGCGGTTAGATGCCCGGCAAACTGTGTCACGTAGCACGAAGATCTTCCCGGACGGTCATTAAGCGGTCTTAACTACACGCCGCACGGTACTCGCGTGACCAACTTAACGCGGAACTTTCATGTTCCCGCTGCAACTGCTCGTTTTCCACGGCTGGCCCGTGTCTGTGTATACTGTTACAATACGATTACGCGGCAAATTGCGAACAAATATCGAAGAGACTCGTATAAATCGGACGTTGTTCGCCGATGCGTGCGATACTGTATACGGCGATGATCGAGCATCGTCGAGATTTTCATTTACATTTATATTAGGAAAGCTCGTTTGCAACGCGGCGCGAGGCATGCGCGAAAGAAAAACCGGGAGAAAAAGGAGGGAAAATAGTTTATTCCGCTGTTCTATCCGTAGGATCCGTTCTCACGATAGAGGAAACGATTTTTCCACCAGAGACGTGTAAATTCCCGCGACGAACCGCTGGACGATAATTCTTCGAGGGGACGCCTCCGTACGTTTTCACTCGTCAGCATCCCGATCCTCTAACGATATGTATATTGCTCTTCCCGTCGCGAGAAAGTATACTCGATTCTCTCTGGTACGCGAAGAAGAGGGACCACACCGCTCACGCTTCCTTCCCTTCCCTGCCCGTCATTTCCGTAGAACGCGAGAAGTAGAAAGTAGATTGACCCGGGGTCACTGTCGGGCAATCAGCTGATCGTCAGCGATCCCCTCCTACCTCGCCGTTCAGACGAAGGAATCACGGTCATAATTTTTCATATTGCTCCACGGTCCTTTTCACGGCGAGCGTCTCACGCGAATCGCGAGAATGGAAAGTCCTTCCTTGCAGCCTCGTAAATCACTCGGTGAAACACAACCGAGGCTGGCTGAATACTGGCAACCTTTGGACGCCGATTCGACGCGAAAATCATACCGTTTTACGATCGGTAATCTCGATTCGAAATTTCCTCCGATACTTCTTGAACCTACGCGAAGGTAGAGGTGGAAGGGAAAAATAGTAGATTCCTACCATGGAGTGCATTTATCAGGAATAATAATTCGGTCGATTCGATAAGAGGTAAGTGGATGAATAATTCACGCTGTTATTGCTAATCAACACTGTAAGACCGCGAAACGATATCGATCGATTGGAAGAGCCTTTCTCGGCTAGCCAATGGCTCGAGGACAGAAAAGAGGAGTGCTAGTTAACAGTTATATTGCAACAGATTCCAGCAAGGTTGGTTCTACGTCATTGATCGTGAATAATCGAGTACACACCGGCGGCGGACTTTCTTCCCTTAGCTCGGCTATCGCCGCGTCGGCCCGAGATTCCGTTCAACACCGGAAGCGTTGCTTTGCTGAATTATCGTCTCACGCTTTCGTGACTTTGTCAAATGGCCGGCTAGCCTCGGGTAGCCGAATCTCGATTCTCCTGCAACTTTCTACCTTGCGCAAGTTTCCCTAACTACGCGCACCTCTAACACCTAGGAACGCTTCATCTCGAGATGCTTTCGATTAATTCGATCGTTAACACGTTCCTCGACTTTTTCTCTCTCTCTCTCTCTCTCTCTCTGTGTTCGAATAGAGAAAGGATGGAACTTTCATCGAGATAGCTGGAGATAAATCAGAGATAAACTTCAATTAGATTTACGATGATCGATGTAAAGATTGGCGAAGAATTTTCAAGCGTCTACACTTGGCAAGAGAGAAGAAAAAAGGAGAAGAGTTTAAGAATGATGTTACGAGGAGGAGATCGCGCGGAAGAAAGGTGGATCCCGAGGCTCGTTCGAAGGGAAAAAAATTGATTCGTGGCCAGGTAGCCAGGGGTAGGAGGACAGGAGAGAAGAGCCGAAGAAGAACCATACAAGTGCGCGTAACGGAATTCGTAGCCGCAGGGCCGAGCGCCGCATTCTCGATACGCCGCGCGGCTCTCTCGCTTCACTCACGAGGAGGCAACCAGTGCCTCGTGAAAATATTACGAAACCCTGTGTTCCGATTCGCGAGATGCGGCCCGATCGATCCAACATGCCCTGGATAAACGTATTCTCCTTCAAACTTGACATAGAAATCGTCACACTCGGGTACGAAACTGGTACACCGTTGAAAAGAGGCGCATATTCCAAGATACCGATAGTTCAATCGAGAGATGAGAGAGACGAAAAAGTAACAGAAACTTCACTGTGACCATTAAAATGATAAATTCCAGAGATAAACGTATTCTCACGGGATAACTCGAATCGGCCAAGCCAGCCTTCCGTGTGTAACAGCCTTTACGATCGTACTCGTTACCGTAAACGACGCTAGAATTCGCGTAGGAATGTTAAAGAGAGCACAGATAAACTACAAATACTGGCAATTACAAATGGTATCGTGTTTTTATCACGCTCCCTCCCTGCCTCCCGTTGGAGAATGCGGGGCGGGGGAAGGCTTCGAAGGAGGAAATTGGCACGTTATCGCGACGCTCGTTTCTCCAAGAGGGAACCCTCTAACTGCCCATCCGCCTTGACACCCAAAACTATACCGCATCCTAATAAATGCACGGCTCGATTACGGGCGACGGGTAATCGGTTTGTCAAACAACCGGGACAGCTGAACCTGCTCCGCATTAATAAACCGCTCGAAACTGACCTACAACTCGTCTTCCATTCTACTCGCGCCTGCTGCTCTTGCTGCTACTGCTGGTCTAACCCGAACGGACACATTCCACTTTTAGCTCTGCCTCCGACGAATTTAAACGCGTCTCTCTCCCCGACCGATTAATTCTGCCGTGTTTGTGGAAAAAGGACCGACGGTCTGGAAAATCTGGTTCTACCTCGCGAACGAATGAAATGGTCCCGAGGGAGAAACGATGCGTTGAAGTGGAAGAACGTCACGAATTACTCACGCGTCGATTATTATCGTGGAGATAATTCAGGCGTTACCAGGAACGGGGAAACCATGTTGGGAGTGATCAAAGTTGCAATGTTAAAGACGCAATTAGGCATGCGGAAAAGCGAGAAGGTTCGAGCATGTTAATGGACAGGGGAATGGAAAGGACGAGAGGCAAGGCAGAGAGCTGTTCGTCTGGTTGGCCTTATTCGGAAGTATCGGGCGTTCCGCGCGGAAATGTTTACACAGTCCGGCTAAACGGAGGCCCGTAACCCTTTGGAATCCCGCATTTTCCCAGCCGTGAACGACGCCACAATGCGCCGGAATTGCGTAACCACGGCGTTCTCCGTCACGCCTCACGGATTTTGACAGCGTGCTCCATTCATTACTTAAATCTCCTCGTGCATTCATCTCGCCGTGGAAAACGGTGTTTTAAATTCGCCTACTTTTTTTTTTTTTCTCTGCTTCTTCTTTACCCGTTTCAACGGGGGCAGCAAACTGTGAAGGAAGATTTACCGTTCCCCCCTCTTCTCGTATTTTCATCGCGCAATTAATCCCACGGTGAACCACGTGAATTTGAACAAACGATTTTTCTCTCCTTTTCTCTTCAAACTGGACGTCCTCCAAAGCGTTCGACGCGTTCGTTTTAGTCTACACAGTCCCGTGTTCGATTGAAATCGGCATCTTTACGGCGCGCGAGTAGCATCATCGCCGAAATATTTGGCCTACGCGTTCTCGCGACCTGAATTCTCCGGATTTCTTCTCCTCGAGGATACCTTAAATGGTTTTCGCGTAAATGGGAAAAAAACGATCGGACGAACATCGGACGAGGGAAATAATAGGTGGTTGCTCGTGCTCGGTTGATCGTTAAACGACAAAAGTGATTTTCTAAAATTTAAAACAAGCATTTTAGAAACTGCCTGGAAACACGGAAGCGTTGTATAACGCTTAATAAAAGAAAAATCGCGTTCGCTAGAAGAAGGCGGCGTGTCGTTGGAGCGTTACGTGCGGCGCGGCGGTAAAGGGATCGCGGCGGCGCGTTCGTTTGGCAAGCGTGGCGCTTCCTAGCGTCGTCGACAGCGCGAAACTTTCACGAGGATCGGGAATAATTATCCATGCATCAGCCGGGAATACCTGGCAGCTAGAAAATCGCGACGGTCTCCCCGCTCGTGGTGGAAAAAACGCGAAATGCCATCGGCTTTCGAAGACCCCGCCGCGCTCTATCCGCCACCACGAAAACTGGTTTCGCCGGAGAAACATTTCTTGTCGATCGGAGGAAACGTCGTTATCGACGACCTTTTACTCCCAAGGAAGTTCTGTATCAATTGGAAAAGTTGCAAATCACACCTCTGTCGCTTCAAATTGCTTCGAAAAGGAGTAACTGGCCGAAGGTACAGTTGAACGAAGAAATATAGCGAAATACCGAAATGGGCGAAAA